GGCATGGGTAAAGACTTTGTTCAAAATCTCACATCACTTGCAGACACAGGACCAGAATTTGGGACTCCTTTCTCTTAGGCCAAAGTTCTTTCCCTTATGTTACTTCATGGATTGTTATGTTTTCCTCCAATACTAATTTTCTTGGAGGAAGAGATTATGCCTTTTACTTCTTTGTAAGTTGAATGAACTCATTTGGAGGATCTAACTAAGAGGCATAACAACAAGTAAACCTTTGCCCTAATAGGGAAAATAGGCAATTAAATACAAATAAGTCAGTATCTATCTGGATTTCAGTGTTGAGAAGGATTCAGCAGTTATATCTGAATTTAATAGAAAGGAATGCCATGACTGATTAGTGACGTCTGCCTTGGGTATAGGAGGAGGAAACACAATGCATATGTCAATGTGTGTATTTCCCTCTGACCAATAAGTCCTCTCAACTATATGAACCACCTGGAGAGGATATACACGGAGAAGAGATGGGGAATATGGACACCTATTCTACCTATTCAGCAACAAGAACAGGAGAATCAATCCTAGCTTCCAATGTGGTGACATATGCTTCTACCAGATTGTCTCACTGCTGACTTCTCTGTAACCCCTAAAGCTATGAACATCTAGTAGGCATTCAATTCAATAAGGACATAGTAATTAATTGAAATTGGGATATAAACCAAAGTTTTCACAATAGAACTTTCCATCCGTCTTTGGTAACCCCATATCAATCAAAGTATTTGGCACTTGGTGCATTAAAATTCCTTGTGAAACAAAAATACAACCTTTAAAGCAGGACCATGAATCTCTGGATTATCAATGCCCAATCCCATCTGATATAAAATTAAGAATATTGTAATCTGATGATTGTACTGTGTAAGTAGCATACCTTCTATATTCTTTGAACCACTCCTCAAAATTGGCCAGAAGGCACAAAAGAAAAGGGGGGATTCAGAAAATCTTCCTCTAACTTACGGGATTTTATGAGTCAAATTGCGGGGAAAATCTGACTCCGTGTGGACTTCCATTCTGTATGTCATTCTTCTTCCGTAGGTTTGGCTTGCATGATGTCAGGAGTTCCGGGAGTCAAAATAGCGTGGGGGCATGGATCCAATATTGACTCATATTGAGTGGAAGAAATCTACACCGAAGTCTGGATGAGATAATTTGGTTGTGAGTACTAGGATGTGACTGCTGATGACAGAGGAAAAGGGAAACCAAGGTGTAAGTTTTGGCTTACTGACTACCTACTCAGTTAAGACTGAGGATAGCATGAGATATGATTGAAATCTTCCTGACGTGTCATATATAACCATAGCCAGTTTTCAGAAAAAAAAGTCTGGTTGAAAAGAAAAAAGAAAGTTTTCAGCCCCTCTGTTTTAGTAATATGGTCACACCTTGGCTCCTGGTGGGTTTGCAAAACTTTTAAAGTATATCTTGATGGTGACTTATTCTGCAGTCTCAGAACTGGCCAAACCAACAAGTGTGAAACCTCTAGTTTGCATGTGCAACAAAAGGTGTTTTACAGGCAGAAAAGAGAGAGAAGTTTCTTTGTTTGCAAAGTTGACAAGACAGGAAAAGATCACAAATGGATATACTTATTGTAGTGATAATGTTCTGAGCCAAAAAATCATATGTTGAAAGATGAAAATCCAATAGCAGACGTTTCACTTCCAGCCTGGAATGCAGGATGAGCTACATAATTTGTGGAAACAAGTGCAAAACGAAAATGTGGGTCCGTTGTTTGAAGAGTTATTAGAAATTTCAAGAAAGTGACAACAGAGCATTAAACCAAGTGTGGGCTGTTCTAAGTTCAGGGTTCTGACAGACTGCACAGGTTGCATGCCCATGAAGTTGAGTTGGCTGGGATGTCTAGGCAAAAATTTCAAAAATATATTTCAAAAACAATTTCAAAATATATTTGCAGTCTTACTATGTTTTAAGGAATTAAAGTGTGATTACTATCTCACAAATTCTACAGAAAAAAAGTTCCAGAAAGTAAAGCCTGATAGGGTGTAATTATTTGAATTCACATATCTAATGTAGAGGCACATACAATGATCTCAATGGATAGTGATAGAGTGTGGGATGTATTGACTAAAGGTTTCATCCTCTGTGGGAAGATCTTGGATTTAGACTCAGTTCTGCATTAGCCAGTTGAATGAATTTAAGCACATCACTTGTTTTTCTGGGTCTTGATTTACAAATCTAAAAGGTAAGGAGGTTGACCATAGATAATCCATAATTCCATAATTCTGTGCTTGGCCGTGCAATCAAGAGTTACTAGAGCTTGGATTTTAGCCATGTAATTACTCTTCATAAACATCCGGCCACACTGTAAACAATATAATCTGTTATTTTGAACAGGCATTCTCAATTTACAAGTGGTTACGCAGCGTATCATTCCCTGTTATGGATCCCACTATTCTTAACTCCTCAGTCCTAGTACTACATTCCAGTGGAGCAATCAAGGACCAGGCAGAACTAAGTTTTACTTATTTCCAGGAAGCTGGGAACATTCCTTCCAGTGACTCAGAGGTTGACCATTAGAAGGTATTGAGAACCTGCAGTGTGTCTCAGGCTTGGACCCAGATCCCTCTGCCACCTGCAAACACATTCTCTGGACATAATTTTTCTTGAGCAGAGCAACAGTAGAGCTTTGAATAAAACAATGTAATTTTTACATTCTTCACTTGCTTAACATGAGGTTTGGCTCCACATAAATGTTTTGATCTTATTCATTCTTTGGGAAGATTGCCCCTCAAAGAGCTTTCTGGCTTTTTTTCCACATAAAAGAATATACAAAATTGTCCCAGTCATCAAGTGGCTAAAGAGACAGAGCATCATGTTTCTAACATTAATCATAAATATTATTTAATTAAAAACTAGTTTCTTATAGGTTAGGCCTGATAACATCAGAATTAGAACTTGAGGGCAAATAACTCAAAAGAGATCCTTAGGCAAGCATTTGAATTTACATTTATACAGTGCTGTTTATGAGCAAATCTCCATGCCAAAATATTTTAAGGAAGAGAAAGCCATCATAAAAGCAATGAAACAATTTCTGATTTTCAGAAACTCAATCTAATATGGGAGAAGACACACGAATAACTATCTTCAATCAAGACTGAGGAATCAGAGCTCTTAGAAATGTATACACCAAGACTTTTATAGAAAATGTAAGATTAATTTTAGGGAGGATAATTTTGGAAGAACTCAGGGAGATGATAATTTTTAAGCTAGGCTTGGATGAATGGCTACTACTCTCAGGGGCACAAATGAGAGTAAAAAGAACTCAAGACCAAAGAAACAGCATGAGCAAAGGTACAGGGTATTTTTTTTTTTTTAAAGAAATGACTAGTCATCCAATGTGCCAGAATAATAATAAACTTCTATTGAGTGATTACTATGTGCCAGGAAAAATTCCTAGCACTTTATGAGGGTTATCTGATTTAATTTTCAGCTGAAGCATGGAAGAAGATACTATTATCAAGCCAATTTTACAGATAAGGAGACTGAGTCATAGTAGATTTAAGAAGCTAACTCACAATCATATAGCTAGATAGTATGGGAGTCAGGAATCAAGTTTGCCCCCATAACCGCAATGCTGTTATGTACACAGTGCAGGTAGAAATGCAAAGTGGGTTGGAACCAAAGAGTGGAGGGCTTTTTGTGCCATCCCAAAGTGTTGTACTTCATAAATAAATTACAAAGGAGGAGAAGTAATCCTTTTTTTTTTGTATCTGAAAGACAAAGAAATAAAAAGTTAAAAAGATTCTCTGTTAATACTGATTATTTGGAACAATAAATTGTTTAGAGCTATGCTGTCCAATATAGTAGCACCTAGCAATATGTGGCCATTAAACATTTGAAATATGACTAGACCAAATTGAGATGCACTGTAGGTATAAAATATAGACTGTATTTCTTTTTTTTTTTTTGAGATGGAGTCTCACTATGTCACCTAGACTGGAGCGTAGTGGCATGATCTCGGCTCACTGCAACCTCCACCTCCTGGGTTCAACCAATTCTCCTGCCTCAGCCTCCCTAGTAGCTGAGATTATAGGCATGCACCACCATGCTCGGCTAATTCTTTGTATTTTTAGTAGAGACAGGGTTTCACCATATTGGTCAGGCTGGTCTCGAACTCCTGACCTTGTGATCCACCCACCTCGACCTCCCAAAGTGCTGGGATTACAGGTGTGAGCCACTGTGCCTGGCCCTCCCTATGGGAATATTCTGTACACTGTATTTCAAGGATTTAATATGACAAAAAGAATGTCAAATACCTTATTAATAATGTAGTATACTGATGCATACCGAAGTAATATTTGGGATATATTGGTTTAAATACAATGTATTTAGAAATTATATTTACCTTTTTAAGAAACTTTTATTAATGAGGCTACTAGATCATTTAAATTTACCTGTGTGGCTTGTATTATATTTCTACTGGGCAGGGCTGATCTAGAGCACTTTGAAACTTGTGGTAGATATTTTACTAACCAACTCTGATGAAGGACTTCCTCACCAAATTGGTCTTTCAACCACATTCTTTCCTTGCTTTCTGGTCATTTGCAAGAAAAATTTTAAAAGGCTCCCCCTTTGTAAAGGTTTGAGAGGCCCTAGAATTTCCTTTTTCACTTGTTCCCAACCACAAGCAAATGATCAATGTGCTTTGTGAATGAGGAGTCAACATTTTACCAGGGTGAAGGGGGGAGGTGCGAAAAAATTTCCAGTCCTTGAATGGTGTGAAGTAAAAGTGCCTTCAAAGAATCCCACCAGAATGGCACAGGTGGGCATAATGGGTCTGTCTCATCGTCAAAGGACCCAAGGAGTCTAAAGGAAACTCTAACTACAACACCCAAATGCCACAAAACCTTAGTTATTAATACAAACTAGCATCCCTGCCTATCTGTCACCATCTCATCTTAAAAAACTTGTGAAAATACGTAATCCTGAGGAGACTTCAATTAGGTATAAATACCAGCAGCCAAAGGAGGTGCAGCACATTGTTCTGATCATCTGAAGATCAGCTATTAGAAGAGAAAGATCAGTTAAGCCCTTTGGACCCGATCAACTTGATACAAGAACTTCTGATTTCAACTTCTTTGGCTTAACTCTCCCTGAAACGATGAAATATACAAGTTATATCTTGGCTTTTCAGCTCTGCATTGTTTTGGGTTCTCTTGGGTGTTACTGCCAGGACCCATATGTAAAAGAAGCAGAAAACCTTAAGAAATATTTTGTAAGTATGGCTTTTTAACAGTACTTTTTTGTGGTTGAAAATGACTGAATATTGACTTGCTGTAGCATCTCTGATAGACTGTCCTCTCGTACGCAGTCATTTTGAGATCTGGTTTTATTTTGTTAATTATTGACTGGATGAGTTTCTTGACTACATAATCTAGATATTGTTTTAACCTTCTGCTCAGTTTGTATAGAGACTTAAAAGGGATTTATGAATCTTCCCAAAGATGGGCATAATATGGATATGAAGCATAATGATGTTAATAATTTTGTGGTGAGAACTCATTCAGATGTGATAAGTCAAGGAGTATGCATATTGAAAAAAATGATTGGCTATTAGTTTTTGACTTCTCAGACTCTAAGGTCAAGATTAGCATTCAAAAGTTAATAGGAAACGTTTACAAATTAAAGTAAAAAAGGTCCTTAAAGTTTTGGCTTAAAAAAATCACTGATAGGTGATTTTCTCCAAAAAGTTATTTCAACATTCTGCTGCTCTATCTATATTACTTGTGAATTACTCCTGAACTTAGTTGCTCACTGGGATTTTGTAGGAATTATGATTCTGGCTATGGAATGTTTAAAAATTTTAAGTGAGTTTTTTGAGTTTCTTTTAAAATTTTATTGATGGTTAATGAAAAGTTTTTACATTTTAAATATTTCATTATTTATTTAAAACTTAGTTATTATAATTATAGCTGTCATACTAATATTCAGACATTCACAATTAATTTTATTCCTACAACACAAAATCAGACCACACACACACACACAAACACACACACGTTTGGAACTATCTTTTAAAGTTGACATAATACCCTACAGGAAGGCATAGTAGATGTAATAGAAACCTGTGCCATTGGGGGGCAGTATTTTATAGTGGGGTGGCTTTGCTGTTTTTTGTTCTGTATTTTTTAGCCTAGCTTGAAAATACTTTCTTTAGCCTACTATAGTTTTTGAGACCCTTGGAGTATCATCAGCTTTGTTGAACTCCTTTGTGACATTGCAATTTAATGGTTATATTGGAAAATAAAAAAGCTAAAAGAGCATAGTAGTCTTTGGCTATATCTCACATAAACATTTTGTGAACACTTATTGTTAGAACTAAGCAGAAGAATTGAAAAGGAAATCAGTGAATATTGTCACATCTGAGTTCAATGAAACTTGAAATATATTTTTAAGACAATTTATGGGCTAATTGTAAATCCTTTTTTTTTTTTCCAGAATGCAGGTGATCCAGATGTAGCAGATAATGGAACTCTTTTCTTAGACATCTTGAGGAATTGGAAAGAGGTAAGCTGAATATTCCCATTTGGCTAATTTTCCTGTTGCTTGCTTTCTGATGGATAAATACACATCATCCTCTGTTTGTGTTCTTTCCTTCCAAGGAGAGTGACAGAAAAATAATGCAGAGCCAAATTGTCTCCTTTTACTTCAAACTTTTTAAAAGCTTCAAAGATGACCAGAGGATCCAAAAGAGTGTGGAGACCATCAAGGAAGACATTAATGTCAAGTTTTTCAATAGCAACAAAAAGAAACGGGATGACTTCGAAAAGCTGACCAATTATTCGGTAAGGCTCTTTAAATTCTTTCTTTGGTTTCATTGCGGAAGGTCTTGCAAAGCATTTGTTCTCCAGAAAGTAGACATTAGCTATTTAACAGTTGCTAAAGCTATGAACTCAACCCGTAGCTGAAACTCTTACTAATTCTATTTGTGTTTGGATGACTTTGCAAAGCCAGTATGGGAATCACTGAAGTATGTAATGTAGAAAAATGTGTAAAGACAGGTGAATTGACAAATCCAATGAAGAGGAAGTAGGTGAGGAAGTAGTGGGGAGTACTGAGAAGCAATTCTCTCATTGTCCTTTGCTCATATGATGGAAATTCTCTTACTTTGAATGAGAGGCTGTCTGTCTTAATGGAAAGAGCAGTGGGAGGAGCTGAGAAGATGTGTGTTCTCCTCCCATCTCAGCCACCAGGGAACTGTGATGAATCACATGGCTGGCTGGGGCTCAGTGCCCTCATCTTAAAAGGAAACTGTTAGGTTCACTGCATATGTTTGATGACATTCTTTGCTCCAAAACTCTACAATGCCAAGAATAGAAAATGAGAATGAGATAGAAGAAAGCTACAGCCTTTGAGTAGGTACCAGTGCACCCCACTGCAAGTCTCTAGCCAACCTATCAGATTGTACTGCCTAATTAGAAGCAAGAACAGTTGCTGTTTGTTTTTAGGGAAAAATAGGTAGAATTTATACCTTATGAAAACATTGTTCTATCAAGTCTCTATCAACTTTCAGAATATCTCAGCTGGAGAACTCCTTAGACTCCTAAGTCATACCTCATGAACTTGTATCTTTAAATTATGCCTTCTATAAACAGAAAGATAACATTGAGGCATAAAGACAAAACACGTTTTTCAAAATTTTATCTAGAAGACAAAGACCTCTAGATTCCTTTGGGATTGGCTTTGATATAAATGGGCTCAAATGAGAGCTCAAGCTGGCATTTGTGCTCTTAGGATTTGTGCTCAGCTTTCACTATTGCCGGGCCTGCCTCTCACTCCTCTCATGTGAACCCCCAGAAACTGAAAGGAGAGACATGGCAACAGGTCTCCTTTGGTTAGAAACTAGATACTCAGCACTTGCCACTAACCCAGTGGTGCCCCTGGCTTACTGTTCAGTCCTGGATAAGTCTCTTAGTTTCTTGGTGATGATTTGAACACTGGAAAGTAAAATCTGTCACTTGCAAAAACACAGCTTGTAGAAAACTTTTTCTACTCTGCAGGAACTGGGCCTTAAAAAAGTGAAAAAAAATCTGTGGGTTTCTTCCTTCTGGAAGCTACAAACCTCCTGTTTCTTGATGAGCAATCTTGAGTGAGCTCTATTAATTATTGTTCTCTTTGGCTCATTTGCTAAGCTGAGGTATGTTATGCCCTTTTATAATTAGCCCTGTAGTCTGTAATCCCCCAGCCATCCTCAGAAATGTGGCGAGGTAGCCATAGTGTTCCCAAGATTAGAAAAAATATAATCGCAGAGTCAAGAGGAAAGTAAATGGTCCACATTTTAGGAAGAATGAAATCACCTAAATGGCCCTATTGATTAGAGTGAGGAAATGCAAGTAGTTCAATTTGCTGGCCTAGAAGGTAGGGTACTGGAAAAGTTGTTGCAATTCCTAATTTTAAACTTTATATATCAGTAAGCAATATATAAATATGATTGGTGGTTATTTTAAAACCTATTATGGAAATTGAGAGACTGACCTAATCTGGGAGAAATTAAAAATTACAGTTTTCACTTGTTTTGGATTTGATGTTTTCTAGGGTACCTAACCTAGATCAGTGGTTCTCAAACTTAGGTGGATGTTAGAATCACCTGGGGAGCTTAGTGAATGCACAGGGCACAGTCCTTCCAATTCATGCCTCTGGATCTCTGAGGTCTTTATTAGGTTTCCAGGTTAATCTGCTATGCACAACAGTGAGAATCATTGACCTATAGTTACTCATTTGATACATACAGGAGAGACTAAAGTATAAAGTGATATAATTGGTAGATTGATGATAGAGAGGTCATAGAAACAGTCTTCTCTTCCTTTAGATGAGAAAATAGAGGTTCCAAAAGGTTAAGTAGCTGGCTCAAGGTCAGAATTATTGCACGCATGAGATTCAGATCCACCTTTTTACATTGACTCCACACCAGGGGTCTTTTCACTATATGATTTCAAGAATTCTATGGGAGTAGATTTAAAGATATGTGACGGACTCCACCACATCATTGCACAACTAGGAATGTAATTGTAATTTTTAGCCTCAACTGCTGAAGAAGTAAATATTGTATATTAAGGTAATATGGTCCATTTTTTAAAAGGAATAGTTTTATTTTCACTGACCATCATGCCATTAACTGAATATCCTGATGGCTTATATGCCTGAAATTAATTTTGCTCTTTTCTTTCCCAATAGGTAACTGACTTGAATGTCCAACGCAAAGCAGTACATGAACTCATCCAAGTGATGGCTGAACTGTCGCCAGCAGCTAAAATAGGGAAGCGAAAAAGGAGTCAGACGTTTCGAGGTCGAAGAGCATCCCAATAATGGTTGTCCTGCCTGCACTATTTGAATTTTAAATTTAAATCTATTTATTAATATTTAACATTATTTATATGGGGAATATATTTTTAGACTCATCAATCAAATAAGTATTTATAATAGCAACTTTTGTGTAATGAAAATGAATATCTATTAATATATGTATTATTTATAATTCCTATATCCTGTGACTGTTTCACTTAATCCTTTGTTTTCTGACTAATTAGGCGAGGCTATGTGATTACAAGGCTTTATCTCAGGGGCCACCTAGGCAGCCAACCTAAGCAAGATCCTGTGGGTTGTGTGTTTATTTCACTTGATGATATAATGAACACTTATAAGTGAAGTGATACTATCCAGTTACTGCCTGTTTGAAAACTTGCCTGCATTCTGAGCCACTGCTTTAATGGTATGTCAGACAGAACTTGAATGTGTCAGGTGACCCTGATGAAAACATAGCATCTCAAGAGATTTCATGCCTGGTGCTTCCAAATATTGTTGACAACTGTGACTGTACCCAAATGGAAAGTAACTCATTTGTTAAGATTATCAATATCTAATATATATGAATAAAGTGTAAGTTCACAACTATTTATGCTGTGTCAGACTTTTTCTAAGTGAGAACTGGAGTGAAAGAACTACCTATTAATGAATTAGTAGGGAGGGGAGTCATCTTAGCTGTGGAAATTTTAGAGTTGCATTTGGTTCCATTAAATGTGGTGTTTCTTTCCACTAGCATTTTGTTGGCTTTCACTTTTCCAGTTGGCAGCTCTTTGAATTATCTTTCTAAGATACAGATTTAATTATGTCACTATTCAATTTGAACCACTATTCAAGAGGTTCTGCTATGGAATGTAGTTTAAACTGCTCAGCTTGGCACACAGATTTATTTCTAGCCCCTTCTCCACCTTCCTATTCCCTCCTTCATTTCAGAATCTTCCTCTCCCTCATCCAACGCTGGCAAACACCACTGGGTGTGGAGTAGTGGGTGTAAGCTCTAGGGAGAAGGCTTGAATTGGAATCCAAGTTATTCCATTACAAGTAGTATGACCTTTAATACTTTATGTATATTGTCTAAGTTTCAGCTTTATTGTCGGAAAAATAATTGTGTGTTCCTCATAATATTGAGGTACAAATTGATACTTTCACTCAAGAAATATTTATTGGAGTACCTACTATGTGCCTGGTGCTGTTGCAGATCCTTGAGATACCTTACTCAAGCAAAACAGCCAAGGATCCCTGCCCCTGGGGAATTTGAAATTAAGCAAGGGACAGATAAACAATGAACAAAATACATAATATGTAAGTCTATTGCATGGCATTCTCTAAGGTGATTGGTGTCATGGAAAAATAGTTAAAGGAGAGCAGGACAGGGAAATTAGGAATCCTATGTGTGGCAGGATGGGAGGGCTAGAGGTTTAAAAGAGTAATTATATGTGGCTTCATTGAGGAGATGCCATTTGAGGAAGCACTTGTAAGAAATAAGAGAGGTAGCTATTTGAATTCCAGACAAAAGGTATATCCTTGCAAAGGCTCTGAAGAGGAGATTTTCCTGGAATGGTAGAAGAACCAGCAGACCAGTGTGCTGCACCCAGAAGATGGAAGAGAAAACCAGCCACACTTGAGAGGAATTCATGGGAAGCAATGTCCTTAGGGGAGGGCCAGTTTATCTTTTGAAAAGGAGGAAGTTGAGGATATGAAGGATTTGGTTAGTTCTGGGCTGTAAATTCCAGAAGACCCAGTGAGACAAAATAAGAGAGGCTGTCATAAAAGGGAAAGTGCATAGGGATGTGTTGCGAGTCTGAGACTTCTTATGATCACCGACATAAGCAAGATAATGGATATAGTGAGATTAGTTCTATCGACTATGGAACACACAGTGGTGGCAAGACTGTGAATGTCAAGGATAGAGAGGGTTAGGCATCTGGGGCTTCCTTCTCAACAATTTCACATAACCCTCCAACAGCAACAGTAGGATTATGGGAAATAGATCACACAAAGGATCATTTGAGTCTTCGACAACAATCAGGGGTCATTATTTTGATTATTGGGCAATTAAGTGACAGTGGGTGAGATCTGATTCTGAAACTTTTGAATCTTTGATGAAGCAAGACTGAAAGTAAATTGGGTTATTTTTGGTACAACTACAGCTAATATGATCTGCGACTGGTGTCTCCACTCTTGTTCGTATTAAGATTCACTGATGCAGACTTTGATGTATAAACAGATGGAGGGCTACTGTGAAACTGTCTTGCCTGGACTGTATTTCCAGACCATACTTCTGGGGAAGGGATTGGAAATTCCCACCATCAATCATCTTGAGAAGTGATTAATCATACCATGTGGAATGAAGCCCCAGGAGATGAATTTTAGTCTAGGGCTGGATAAAACATTCCCTCTCACTGAGGTTGGTCTCAGTTTGGCCCAGACTGTGAGACATGAATAGATACAAACTGTATTAGGTGTTGTGATGATAGCAGGGAATGAGACAGGGAGAAGATCCTTTAAGAGAACTTAAGTTGAGACTGGCCTATGCAGTGGTTGTCAATTATTCCCTATCTTGTATGTTTCTTCTCTTATGAACACACCTAGTTTCAGAAGTGTGATGGAGCTTGTAGGAGGGATGGACCATGCTTTAGACTAAGAGACCTTAGGGGAAGCTTCCTCTCTCAATGCCAGCAGGGGCAGGTATCTCCCTAATCTTGTAAGCAGCTGGGGCAGCAGCCTGGGCTTGCAGTGTGAGAGCCCTTATCGTATGATGTCCCACCCTTAGTGACTTTCAGAAATTGCTGGCATATCCTTGCTGGTAGGGCAATTTTTGGCAATTAAAATTTGAGCGTGAAATGTCAATGGATTTTCTTGTTCTTTCTTATCCTGTTCTCTTCATTCTCCTCTTCCTCTCTTCCCATTTGAACAATATTATTCTAAATCAATTAAGTGCATCAGAGTAAGGTAGACATCTGTAATTGCCCACGATGGGCAGCCAAATTCCAGGCACAGTGTGAAGGGAGGAAACCTGGTGTGGAAGGTATCAGAACCTGAGCAGAATGAGGAGAAGGTCCTTGAAGAGGTGAGTGAGCATATTAGTTTCCTATTGCTTTGGTAATAAGTGACAACAAACTTAGTTGCTGAAAAAAACCCCACATGTTTATTATCTTATCATCATGGAGGGCAGAAATCCACAATCAGGCTCAGTGGGCTAAAATCAAGGCATTGGCAGGGCTTGTTCCTTCTGGAGACTCTAGGAGACAATCTGTTTCCTTGACTTTTCCAACTGCTGGAGGCCACTCTCAATCCTCAGCTAGTGGCCTCTTCCTTTTCAAAAGCCAGCAGAACAGTGTCTTCCAGCCTCTCTCATTCTCTCTGAGTCTGATATTCCCTATTTCCTCTTATAAGGACCCTCGTGATTACATTAAGACCACTTGAATAATTCAGGATATTGTCTCCTTCTTAAGATTTTTAACTTAACCACATCTGAGAATTTGTGTGCATGTGTGTGTGTGTGTGTGTGTGTGTGTGTATCATATAAAGCAACAGTCCCAGATTCAGGGGACTAGGATGTGGACATCTTTGGGGGTCCATTATGCAGTCTATCATAGGGCGGCAGCCTGACATGACATGGGTCCTCTGAACCTTAGCCTAGCAAGGAGGTGCCTATGTGAAAGAAAGGCCTGGAGTAGGCTGTCAGAGTCCAGGCAAGGTGAGGAGGACATCTGTGTCCTGGGATGGCCCAGCATGGGTGTTAGAGTGAAGTAAGAATGGCATCTGCATAGGGGAAGACATATTAGTGCAGATGAGAAATTAATTAAGTAATTATATTAAAGATAATGGGAGCCAGTCTACCTCACTATTGAAGGAAGCTACAGTACAGAAAAGGAGAAAATTAGAATAAACCCTATGATATTGAATTAGAATTAGATGTGTCAGTATTACCTTATGCTCTTCAATATATAGAGGTAGATACAGAAATAAATAATAGATAGAAATATTCATTCACCCTAACTCTGTCCATTGAGGGGGCCTGAGAGTAGTTAACATCTCAATAACAGTGAGAACACTGATCACCCATATCTTGACTTCTAAATACCATTCTTTGCTAGAAGGAACCAGAACTCCTTGGAGAACTGGCTGATCCCAGAGCAGGGGTAGTGAAAGTACATGGTGTGCTAGAAAAAAAGAAGTATTCAGAGGATGATGGAAACATGTTAAAAGGCACAGAAACCAGCTTGAAGGGACTCCCACTGGTCAAATATAAGAAAATTTGAGCATCAAAATAAATAGTGATAGTGATGTATTGTGACCTTTTGAATATAATAGGAAACCAGGAGTATATATTGATATAAATGAACACACTGAAAGTTTGATGAGGAATAGTATAGCCACATCATTGCAAAATATCTCCCTATAAAATATTTATTAATTACAAATTGGAAAGGAGTAATTTTATAGTAGAGAAGCTTAGCAGATGCCATCTTAATCAAGGAATAAAAGTGAACATCCTTAGTAATGAGATAAATGAAAAGGGTGTCCTACCTGATAGGATGCAAGGAAACGAACACAGCATACCTTTTGTGATATCTCTGTGAAAGATGCATAACCTATTCTAGTCATGAGAAAACATACAAATGCAAACTAAGAAGCAATTTACAAAATATCTTGTCTGTAGTCTTCAAAGTATCAAAGTTGTATAAGTAAAGGAAAGACTAAGGACTGAAGAACAGTTTTGTTCTGAAATGAATTATAGCGACATGATAGCTAAATGCAGTGCAAGTTTCTAAACTGAATACTTATGCAGTAGAAGTCATTTTTAGAACAACTGGTGAACTTGAGTGAGGTCTGAAGATGAGAGAGTAGTGATATATCAATTTAAACTTCCTGATTTTGAGGTTTGTATCATGGTTAAGCAGGACATGTCTTTGTGGGTAGATAATGCACACTAATGTATTCAGAGGTGAAGGGGCATCGGGATAGCCACCTACTCTGAGATGATTCAGGAAATATAAAGCTTTTCCAACTCTTCTGTAAGTTTGCAATTTCTTTCTTTCTTTTAAGACACCCAGGCTAGAGTGTCACCCAGACTAGAGTGCAGTTGGCACAAGCATGGCTCACTGCAACCTCCGCTTCCTGGGTTTCCAAGCCATCCTCCTGCCTCAGCCTCCCAAGTAGCTGGGACCACAGGCATGCACCACCATGCTCAGCTAATTTTTTATTTTTGTACTATTTGTAGAGACGTGGTTTGACTATGTTGCCCAGGCTGGTCTTGAACTTTTGGGCTCAAGTGATTCACCCCCTTAGCCTTCCAAAGTGCTAGGATTTGCAGGGGTACAGCCTACAATATTTTTTCAAAATATAAATATGAAAAAGTCACTGTGAGATTATTTCAGAGTCACAGGCTGGTGAGGTCTAAAATTCTTGATGACTCAGAATTCCCCATATTTAACTTGAAACAAGGTGAAATTTCCAAAAATAATCACACCTATATACTCACCCCATCCCCATGCTCTTCTTGTAATGTGACTTCTTGTAATCCAACTTAAAGATGAGGGTGTGTTACTCTCCTAAATATTGGGAAGGGGCTTGACTTTGCTTAC